CCTTTGAATGAGTTTATCCACCTGACTGATCTCCTTCAACGTTTACCTGTCTTTTGCTAGACCCTCGGCAATTACATCATAGAATTCGTGCAGACTCATCCATTGACAAACCACACACACAATCTCTACAACTTACGTACTATGCTCTGTGCCCTTAATTTACAAGGAGTTCACCGATTGAACCAGCGAAGCCACTCATAACAGGGAAAGCAAAAATACGTAGTTCGCGCGATGGCGACAAAGAAAAGCATTTATTTAACCAAAAAAGTACCATCATCCTAAGATCGTCACCGCCTCTCAATCGTCATTCGTAAGCGAAGACTCCGTTTATGGTTTCTCTTACAAAAATTTATGTCATCTTTAATTTGTCAACAAATCGTAGTACTTCTTCAGTGAACACTTTCCCGGTTGTGTAGTAAAAGAATTCTTGTACTTTATCAGCATCCTAAACTACCTCTCCCTTTCGTCCTTACACAGACCTACAGCAGTTCCTGGACCGAAACAGATCTAGCATCGCCCTGCTCTGTATCCCAACCGTGGTCGCATTCCTGAAGCGCCGAGCCATCCCTCGAAGTCTCATCACAATTATGATGCTGGACTACAGCATCTGATCCTTCCTCAGGACTCTCGTAATTCCTAATAATATTTAAAGTGTCGGGGAACCACGCCCCACTATCTTCAACATTTACGTCTTCACGACGAACTCCAAGCAACAAAGGGTTTACTGTCCACAGACCAGGAGAAAAGCCCTGCGGGGAGTAGTCGTTCCTGGGGCGGTGCAGGAGGAATGTTTACTATCAAGTGGACTAGGGCAGTGGTATTCAACCTGGGGTACGCGTACCCCCGGGGGTACGTGAAATTTAACAAAATATATATATTGTTTTGTGATAAACACTGAATAATCAGGGCCAGAATTAGGGTTAGCCACAGGAGAACAGGACCTAAGGACATTCGATTTGGGAAGGCCATTTTTTTCTCGCTCTCTCCTTAATGTAATTCTTATCTGGGCGGCAGAAACAAGCTCAATCATCTCATTAACAGGTCTGAACCGCATTAATTAATAATTAATAAAATATTTAAACATAATATTTTGCCTTTAACACTCACGCCAGGTTGAGATCGGTCTTGATCTAATGTTTACAGCGACTGAGGAAAATCTGCTAAGTTGTTCGGGTTCGATACCGCCCTCCCCCTGCCATCGCATTGACAAAGAAATACCCTCTTTCTTCATTGAAAAACTTCTATTAGCAAAATCCATTATCACCTGGTACTCAACCTAAAAATTTGCTCCCGATATTGCTTCTGTCGTCAACTGTGGCGCTGTCATGAAGTCCAGCTCAAATAGGTCACGCCCTAATCCGAATTCAAGCCAAGCTTGCTCTTGACCTTGATTGCCATGCCGATGACAACACACAATTTGCTAAGAATAAACAGGAACTTTAAGCCTCTCTCTCTCTCAGACATCACGCCTACTTCTGTTCTGCTGTCAATCAGAAAACTTTTTCTCTACTTCCTATCTTTATCTTTACGTGAGGACAACCTTGAAGATTTCCCTCATTAATGTAATATACAGTGACGTTATCTGCGTCTCCTCCAAACTCCAAATTAAAATGTTCACTTGCGCGATTCACGTCAGGCACTCCCAATTTTTCATCTCTTAGCCTCAGAACGTGGGTGCCTACCCTCATAACTGGATAATGTTTGGCCCTCTACATCATCCTGCGGTCGTTTCCGAATGATTTCGGCCGTTGTTTTGATCATTGTCCGGCCTCCGCCCTCCGCCGGGGTCGAAAGTGTGGTCAGAGTCTGTCGAGACCTCGTATACCCACACACGTCTCAAAAGACGCTCCATCTGACCTTTGAATGAGTTTATCCACCTGACTGATCTCCTTCAACGTTTACCTGTCTTTTGCTAGACCCTCGGCAATTACATCATAGAATTCGTGCGGACTCATCCATTGACAAACCACACACACAATCTCTACAACTTACGTACTATGCTCTGTGCCCTTAATTTACAAGGAGTTCACCGATTGAACCAGCGATGCCACTCATAACAGGGAAAGC